AATAATATTATAAAATAATATTTATTAATATATAAATATTAACGGAAGAGGGACCAAAAGCACAACAAAACTTGTTGAAAAGGACCAAATCTACAACTTTTAAAAGGTTTAGACCTTATACACATAAAATGAAAAACCACATGAACCATTTTTGCATTTTACCCCTCTTAACAGCAAGTGCTATGGGATCTACATTATCTTTATAGATGAGAGAAACCATCAGTGTTATGTATATGTTATATATATCAAACAATGTGTGACAGCCATTATAAACAAATAATTTTTTTAATCATTTGTAGGTACTTTTTATATATTTATCATATCTTTTTTATATATTTATATATATAACTAATCACATATCTTTTAAACTAATTATTTGCCTCAAATCAAATGTGCAAACTTTACATATAATCAAAAGTAATTGACCTGTTATCCCGTTAAAAAGAAAAAGAAATGAATTACCTACATGACTCTAAATTGAAACAACTTTTATATATACAACCGGTTCGAATGGATACCCATCGGGTAGCATTCAAAAAAATATGACAACCGATACCGGAACTACTAAATGCAGTTCCAAAACTTTAGGAATCGAAACTGGCGTTCCAAGACAGTTCCGATTCCAAAACACAGGTACTATGTTTCGATGATCACTCTAATAATAACATACTTAGGTTTGATCCAAAACAACTTTATAATCTTTTCCATGAAAAATAACAATAAATACTTTTATTTTTAATGGAAAACAATATATTTATAAAGGGAAAAAAGAAAAATGAATATATATGTTCGTTTTAGGTTGATGTAGTCAACTAAGTATTTAAATTTCAAAAAGAATTTTGAACACAAATGAAAATATGCATCGAATAAAAAAACAAATTTTTTTTTCATAATTTTTTTTAATTGAGACAACATTGTATTTTTATTTTAAACCCAAAATAATCTATCAAAGGGTAGTTTCCAAGTCAAAAGCTACTATCTTCCAAAGCAAATTAGATTTCATGCTTAGGGTTTACCTTTCATTACATGTGTGTCAAAGTTGGACACCCGGTCATACATGTTTTTTAATAGAAATAATTGTAGAAAAAAAATTGTTCGCACCCGACGCTTGGCGCGGGTAAACGGCTAGTATATATATATATATATATATATATATATATATATATATATATATCATTAACAAAAAATGAATACACTTCTAATCATAAATTAATATCATAGTATAAATTACTTTTGGTTCTAAAATTGTTTGATTCCCCTAAATCTTTATATCAATCGAGAAACAACTGAGAAGAAGTGAAGGGAAAACAAAAAATAACTCACCTGCAGAAGCAATGCTTAGAATAATTAGACAAAACCATAAGCACTTAAAACAAGAAAATGATTAATCATAAAATGAAATACTTCAAAATCATGCAAATTCAAAGAAAATCATAGTTAGACATTTCATCAAACACTTACTATGCACAACAATCATTTCCATATCACCTGATATTATTTCAAAGCATGGCCAGAACCTGGTTCTAAGTTAAAAAACTGATTAGGTTTTTGTAGATAGTGCAATATAAAAAATTACCTAGGGCCCGACAAGCGGCAAGTCAGCTGTCTGGAAATTATATTCATAGACATAAGGGAGCACCATAAGATGAAAAGGGGAACTCGTTTTTGCATTAATCGAACCACTCAAATTGAGAATCTAACAAGAGCATCAAAAAGGCACTGAAGATAATAACCCAATCCATGATGGAGGCATAAAGAATAAGAAAATAGGGAGAGAGGCGGTGGAATAGGAGGCTCCGGTATCGATTGAAGATCAGAAGGCGGCAATTGGCGGTGGTGACAGAAGATCAGGAGGCGGCGATTGGCGATGATGATTGAAGACCAGGTAGCGGCGATTGAAAGTGTCGATTGAAGTGGATGTCGACTGAAGTTGATGAGAAAAAGGGCTAAGAAACGAACGAGGATTGAAGATAGTGATGATGGCTGCAACGTAAGATGCGATAGTGAAAAGATTCGGGTGGTGTATGGATGAGCCGATGAGGAGGCGAAACTAACCATGAAGCCCTAGGTATCCAAGGGAGAAAGAAAAAGATGGGAATATGAAAGGAAATAGACGAGAATTGAGAAATTTTAGGAGTTAGCTAAAGTTTTAATTACTGTTGTACCCTTATGACAATTTTAAAGTTACACTTTAATTCCTTTAATTTTAAGAATTTACATAAATGGTCCATTCGATAATAACCTTAGATTTAGTTTTTTAAATGGTTCAGATCTGTTCTCGCGTTCTCAACCTTTTAGGTGTTCTTATTTGATCCTACTCCTATATATATATATATATATATATATATATATATATATATATATATATATATATATATATATATAGGCTTAGGTTATTTTGTTTATAGTAACTATTGTGTGCCAGAATGCACAGATCTGGACCATCAGATGGAATAAAATCAAATGTCATGATCTGAGGGTCTATGATAGTACAATAGGGTAACATGTACCATATAATCACACAAATTTCAGCATAATGACATTTCAGTCAATCGAGACAAATTTAAAAAAGGAAAAATCGAGATTTATGAGATAATAAATAATTTTGATTTAAAAAATCTGATTTTTTTCAAATTAATTCAATTTCAAACGTAATTTGTAAACATAAACCGATTTTATTATTATCAGAATGTTATTTTGTTATAATGATATTCTGTAATTCTGTCAGATTGGTATACAACTATGGACATAATATTATAAACACATATTATCAAGACCAATAATTTTTAATGAATACAACTTTTATATAAGACGAAGTTTAATAGTTTAGAATAAGTAATTACATTCATTTTTAAAGAATACAACTATGAACATAAGCTACATTCATTCTCATTCTTGAATGAATCCTCATTCACTTTATTGTTTCGTTTCTAGATGTCTTGTGTATGTTTAACCTCTAAGCCACTTCAAAATATGCTAGCATTCTATGAGATTGACATTTTGTGAGATTGGCATTCTGTCAGAATTGTATTGCATGAGAATGATTTTATGAGCCTTTCCCATTAGGTCTTCAAGCCATTCTTCAATCCATTTCTATCACAAATTCGTTGCCAAATATTTTGTAGTGATACACTTGTAACAACTGCACATTAAACATATACCTAATTAACTACAATTCTATCAGAATACAACAATAATATTCTTACAGAATAAACCATTCTTGCAGAATGGTTTTGAATATTCTTAAAGAATTTGAACTTAATAGCAGCTTACAGTATAATGAAATAAACAAAAATATTATAAAAAGGTAAACAATGTCTCAGGAAGAGAGCCTATCAAACAAGATGCATACCATTCTTCTAACCATTGATGGTTAATAAGATTGAATCATAAACATCATAAACATAGATTGAATCATCAATACTTCCAGCTACAAGTTCTCTGCCATCAAAGAATGGTGTCTCGAATTTCTAAAAAAATTAAAAATTTACAAAAACCCAACTCATCACCAAATTGATCTACAAAAATCTGCATTTGATCATAAAAACCATTCTTTCATTCTTTCATTTTCATGTCAAGAAGAAGCAGCCTCATCACATTTCGTTTTTCCTTGTTCATTTCATGTCAAAAATCAAACCCAAAACCCACCAAAACTCCATTGATTTCAGTAAAAAAAGCAACAGGGAGGCTGCCGGAGCAGCCCTCATTCCACTTACCTATTGGCCACCTTGAACACCTCCTCCACTGTCGCCGGTCGCTGCTATTTTTGTCCCTTCGTTTTCCCACCGCCAACAACGAGAAATAAACTCAAGATGGTTCACAGGAGATAGGCTGCTCCCCTTCCGGTCCCTCACCCTCGCATATCCCTTCCGATGAAGAAGAAGCGTAGAGCTGCATGAGCAACCTTGTTGCCTTCGTTCATATTCTCCTTCTCGATCAGACGATGATCGAAGTCCTTTTCCCCCAATTCATATCGTCGACAACGTCAATAAGAAAATGGGAGGAGGCAGAAATAGAATACGTATATATATGAGAGGCTAGGGTTAAATAATTGGTCAAACAGATTTTTATGGTAATTTCCATGAATTAAAGGATTTTATTTTAATTATCATGCTAAAGTTACATAATTACCCTTATTACAATTTTTAATTACTTAATTATTTCTAAATTCTTATTGGTGCATTCATGCACACAATAGTTGTTAGAGACATTTGAATCTCTCTCTCTCTATATAGATATATATATATATATATATATATAATATATATATATATATATATATATATATATATATATATATATATATATATATATATATATCATGAGTTTATTCCGGATTGAAAAATCTTTTTTATTAATATAAATTGACATGATACATGCAATAAATGAACCATATTTTCAATCCACGTGTATACGATAAAAATTGATTCTAAACCATTGTAAATTGTAAATAATAATAAAGCTGGTATGCTGCTGAGTATAATTATACGAGACAAAATCGTGTAGAAGAAGATTGGATAAGAAAACCCAACCCCAATCCAAAAAAGAAAACCCGAAGCCGAACCAAAAAGCGAAATGCAAAGACCACATTAAACTGATCTATCCTGGACCTGAAAAAGCCCCGTCCTAAAGACCTAAACTTTCCTAAAAAGAAACTTAAAAAAACCACAGACAGCTTAGAAACCGATTTTTAGTAAAATTGAATTGTTTCTTTAGTATGGCCCGGTAAGGTGTGGACTGTGGATTTACGAGGTAGGGAATGGTGGGTTTATTTAGGCCCATTGACCATGCTGGTAGCTTGGAATTGGGTTCTTGGAATTTGGACATTGGACTCGAACTATGAACAAAAAGTTTGATGTCTCAGGGACAATTTCGTCAACTTAGTTCTGGCAGCACATAGACCGTCCGATCATATTTCGTCGTAAATGAACGGTCAGATCAAAAGCGGAGAGCGGCCCTTCAAAAATTCAAAAACGCCTCATTCATCCCGCTGCTTTTCATTACATTTCCTCAAATCAAACTAGTTTGAAGAAAGAAGGGGAGGCAGGTCGAGAAAGCGACCAACATTCGATCGAATTCGAAGCAACGGAGCTTCAAATTTTCCTCTTTCACACACCAGCACACAAAATCTGTGTGTAATTATGTCTTTTCGCCACGAAAAAGGCGTCAATGTCCAGGTGCTGCTGCGTTGCAGGTACTGGAAGTGTTTATCGTACTCAGTGATCTTTCCCTTTTGGTTGAAAGTAGGAATAAAAGCTCTCTTCGGATCTGATTGGTTTTTGAGATTTTCAAATCCACTCTGAAATTATGTTTTTATTCGTTCTTCTTCTATAGTTCGTGTATTGAAATGCATTGTTTTGTTTGTTTGCAGGCCGTTTAGTAACGATGAGTTAAAGAACAATGCACCTCAGGTGGTGACCTGTAACGAGTATCAGAGAGAAGTTGCGGTTTCACAGAGTATTGCGGGGAAGCAAATAGATAGGGTTTTTACATTCGACAAGGTACCCTAATTTCTACAATAGGCATTTAAGACTGCATTCTTATTGGGGTTTAATTGATTTGGGCATGCTCTTTCTCGTCTGTGTAAAATTGTTCAGGTTTGGGAGTCTGTTAAATGTTTCAATTTATCACTCTTCTCTGCAAATTAAACGTAGTTATATTTAATTACTCTCTCCATCTCTCAAAAGATGATTAACCAGTGATTATGGTATTTCTGAACTTATGCAGGTCTTTGGCCCTACAGCTCAGCAAAAAGATTTATACGAACAAGCTGTAATCCCAATTGTAAACGAAGTTCTAGAAGGCTTTAATTGCACTATTTTTGCTTATGGACAGACAGGGACAGGTAAAACTTACACCATGGAAGGAGAATGTAAGAGAGCAAAGGTATGTTATCTTTTACACATTACGTTGCCCTTATAGTATATGTATGCATCTTTTCTGTCATTACTTAACACTGCTTTTCTAATTCATTCTCAGAGTGGGCCAAATGGCGAGCTCCCATTGGAAGCAGGTGTAATACCTAGATCTGTCAAACAAATATTTGACACATTGGAGGGTCAGAATGCAGAGTACAGTGTTAAAGTAACCTTTTTAGAGCTCTATAATGAAGAAATTACGGATTTACTTGCTCCTGAAGAAATCTCAAAACTTGGTATTGAAGATAAACAGAAAAAACTTTTACCTTTAATGGAAGATGGTAAAGGAGGAGTGCTTGTGAGAGGTTTAGAAGAGGAAATTGTAACAAGTGCTAGTGAGATTTTCACATTACTTGAAAGAGGTTCTGCTAAACGTCGAACTGCAGAGACTTTATTAAACAAACAATCAAGGTTATTTTCCTTCACTAATTCTCCAAGTTTTTGTTTTTTTTTTTTTTTTTAATATCTCATGATGTTTATAGTAAACCTTAGTCTTGCTTTTCAGTCGATCACACTCTCTTTTTTCTATTACGATACACATTAAAGAGTCAACCCCAGAAGGTGAAGAACTTATAAAATGTGGCAAACTAAATCTTGTTGATTTAGCTGGTTCAGAAAACATTTCTCGTTCGGGTGCAAGAGAGGTAATAATTTGAGTTTTTATTTCCAGTTACAGAAAAGTGTACATTTTTGTAACATTTGTGATGAATTTGATGGTATATTGGTGTTATAATCCCTCCATGTTTCTCGAAATAGGATCATACCTCACCCTTTTTACCAATATAGGCAATACAATTTTGTTTTGTTACCATAATAGCAATATACTTACCTTTATTAACCCATAACTGGAATACTACTTCGCTGTTCTTTGCCATTTGTCCTTATAAATCTCCTTGTGTTCTTTTTCTTATGGTTAATTTTTTAACATTTGTAAATATTAGGGTCGTGCAAGAGAAGCTGGCGAAATTAATAAAAGTTTACTTACTTTGGGAAGAGTAATAAATGCTTTAGTAGAGCATCTTGGGCACATTCCCTATAGGTTTGATTATTTCTTGATTCATTGTTAATATTTCCTTTAGTCAGTTTACAATTTTTTTATTAAAGTTGCTAATGTTTTTTGTTTAATTAATTTTACAGAGATAGCAAGCTGACGCGTCTGCTTCGTGACTCATTGGGTGGAAGGACCAAAACATGTATAATTGCCACTGTATCACCTGCTGTACATTGTCTTGAAGAGACATTGAGTACACTAGATTATGCCCACAGAGCAAAGAATATTAAGAACAAGCCAGAGGTATTACTATATACTTTTCACAGAATCTATATTTAGTTTTTCATTTTTTATGTTTATATTTTCTTGTCTTTCTGTAGGTAAACCAGAAAATGATGAAAACAACTCTAATCAAAGATCTCTACGGTGAAATCGAAAGACTCAAAGCTGGTAAACTTACTTCATTGTTTGATAATCCTTTAAAGATTTAAAATGGGAGTTATTTTGAAAAAATGTAATGTCTTTTTTTGAAATTTGTTATTTACAGAGGTTTTTGCTTCACGTGAGAAAAGTGGTGTTTACTTGCCAAAAGAAAGATATTACCAAGAGGAAATGGAACGAAAGGTACTGCTTTTTTTTTTTTGTTACATACTTACATTGTCTATTGGATATATAATGTTTGAAACCAAATGTACATATTCTTATGAAACTTTTTATTTGTTTAGTCAATGGCAGATCAAATTGAACAAATGGGAATTAAAATAGAAACACAACAAAAGGATTTTGAGGAATTGCAAACTCAATTTAATGCTCGGGTAGAAGAGTGTTGCAATTTGAGCAATAAACTTGAGTCAACACAGGTATATCATAACTTTTGATTCACTTATTTTTTAATAAATGTCTTCTATTTTTTTTTCTTATTTTTTTTTCTATGCAGAACAAACTGAACCAAACCAATAATGTGTTGGCTAACACTGAAGAAACACTCAAGAAATGTCAATATGCTCTCAAACAGCGAGATTTTATCATAGAAGAACAGAAAAAAGCAGGTGTGCTTATTTTATAAATATGTCAATATTTTTTTTATATATTTGTTGTTTTGTATGTTTTATATATTTTCTGAATATTGTTTTACAGAAAACGCGCTTACTCATCAAGCTTGTGTACTCCGGTCTGACTTAGAGAAATCTCTTCAAGACAATGCATCATTGTTTATGAAAATTGGTATGCATTCTTTTATAAAATATATAAACTATTTATTTCAATTTATAACTATCTACTCAACTTTATGCAGCAAGAGAGGATAAACTAAATGAGGGAAATAGGTCAGTTGTAAATAAATTTGAGTCTGAGCTGGCACAAGATGTTGGTTCTCTTTCCAACATGGTGGCTGCTTCTGTATCTCAACAAAATGAACAACTTCAATGCATTGAGAAATTCTGTCACACTTTTATCAACATTAATGATCAGGTTCTACTTTCATCAAATTAAGTTACTTGTTTTTAGTTTTGTTTATCTTTTTGATTGTTTATATGGTTTTATGATGTAGGCCATGGCTGAGTTAAAGAAAAAAGTTTCTGCATCGAAGAATTTGTATATATCTCATATTGAAGCTCTGGAAAACGTTGTAAGGTTGCACAAGGCAAGTGCTAATGGAAGTTTAGAAGATATTTCAGCCATGGCTTCTTCCAATGCTCGTTCTGTTGAAGAAGTAAGTTAACAAACTATAATTTAAGTGTTAAAATCCTTAAAACTTGTTTTTATTTATTATTACATAATTTGAGTATGTGTATATATATTTTTTCTTTTTAGCTTTTAGCTGAAGAATCTGCACAAGGGCAATCTATATTTGATGAGCTTCAAGGAACATTATCAACCCAACAAGGAGAGATTTCACTTTTTGCTAGAGAGCTTCGAAAGGTTTATTTTTTTTCTTTTAATAAAATGAGTACTTAGAATTTTTGATATTCTTTTAAATAACTTTTTGGTTTATTATTTTTTTCAGAGATTTAATGAAAGCATCCACCATACAACAAATATATCCGAATTTATAAATGGTATATTTGATAAACTAATGGAAGAATCCAAGGAGCTAGGTGCTCATGCTAATAAAGTCGATGAGATACAAACAAAGAGTATCGATGAATTTCAAAAGGCATATGAGGTACATTCATAACATTTCTAAATTCAAATATAAAATATGAAATAGCATCCAATATTTCAAACTTGAAAAAAATATATTTTTCTTCAGGAGCAATCAAAATCTGAAGCAGAGAGGCTTATTGCTGATGTCACAAGTTTAGTATCCAGTCATATCAGTCGCCAAAAAGAGATGGTATTTTATGTTGTTTTACTCTTTTTTTTTTAAAAAAAATATTTTTGTTTGAAGGTGATTGATTAATGGTTGATTGTGAAACAGGTGGATGCACGATTAGCTGGAATCAGAGAAACTTGTGGTGGAAGTAAGAGATTTTTAGATGGACATGTTTCTTCAGTTGAAGGAATCACAACAGATGCCAAAAGAAAATGGCAAGAGTTTTCTTTACAAGCAGAAAATGATGCAAAAGATCATGCCGATTTTTCTGCTGCTAAACATTGTCGCATCGAGTTGCTCTTACAAAAATGGTACCCTTCAATCTTTTTAGCAGAATAAAATATAATACCTTTTTTGTAAAGAGATGTAATTAGCCATTTTAACTAAAAGTTGTTATTTGCATCCAGTGTTGATACTACTGAAATGGCATTGAAGCATTCAAAAAAGACACATGAATCCGTGACTGACATGGGTCAAAAACATGTCTCAGCAATCGATACCCTTGTCAGGTAATATTTAATTTTTTTTTAACAAAATCATCATCATCCGTAACAAATTGTATTTTTTTTTTTTTATAAAATTGAAATATATAGAAATGCTTCTGAAAGCAACGAGCATCATGATGGTGAGATAAGTTCTGCAAGGGCCACTGCTGAGGTGGACGTCTCAAAGAACAGCGAGGACATAATCAAGCACATTGAGGGTAATCTTGGAATTTAAGTTTTTAGTTTTGCCATTTCTTTGTTAGAAACTCTAAAATAATACACAAATATTCATTTTTAGGTACATCACTAGAAGAGCAAGAGGCAGTTAATGGAGTATTGGAAACCACAAAGGCCCAATCCACGGTTCTTGAAAATTTACGAAAAGACCACTCAACTCAATCTATCGCAATAGAACAAAAAGCTCGTGATACTTTCCACCACAAATACATGGTAAGATGAGTCTGGATGAATCATGAATGATGTTTAAAAAATATTTGTTTGTATTAAGTTGGTTTTTCTGTATTTGAAATTTTAATTATTTATTTTTGTGTTTGTAGGATTATGAGCCATCTGGAAATACTCCAATAAGATGTGAACCGGATGTCCCTAGTAAGGTGACAATAGAGTCGCTTAGAGCAATGCCAATGGAGACATTATTGGAGGAATTTAGGGAAAATCATTCGTTTGAAATGTTTGAAGGAAAGGAAGTGAAGATTTCTCCTAATGAACGTTCGCCTCTTACAGAGATCAATTGAATGATTCAAAGTGAAAAACTATAAGTTGTTACTTTGTATATTGTGAAAATCCCTGCTTGGGATTTTTTATGTTTTATTATATTTTGATGAATGTAGTAGAGATTCATTTTGTATGTTATTTCTTCCAACTCTTGTCTTTTTGGGTGCTATGTAATGTTCAATTTTTGTTCACTCGAGTTTATTATATGAAAGACGATGAATGACTTGTAGACAAAATGGTTGCTTGGAAAAATCGAACAAAAATTTATGTTTGGAGGATGAGTTAGTTTTGAAAAACTAAAATATCAAAAATCAAACTCAAGACAATAAAAAGTGCAATCCACTAAAATAACCATACTTTGGTCTATTAGGGAGGGGGTATACTGTATAGTGAGGCGGTTTGGTAATGGGCTAGGGTACTACCGGAAGATGTCACCTAGCTCTGAACGGGTTTAGTAGTTTGGGGTGTTCATTGGATTCCATCGGGTTCACCAACCCATGAGTATTGTACATATGCATGTGACCTTTCCTTGACAATTCAATGCATGCAACAGAGAGTATTGATTCCTTGCCAACTTTAATTTTAATGCATGTGAGCTTTTGACAATCTTCATACCGGTCCTTTTTTATTTATTATTTATCATTTTTGTTTTATAAGTTTATAAAGATGAATATACAATTCACTCATTTGTAGTGTATTTTCTCTAAGAATTTTTGTACTTCGTTCAATTCATTCAGTTACCTTCAATGGATTCCCGATATAAAGCTAAACAACCCGGTTCTAGCCAAAGATACAAATCCATGCAAGGCGGTACAAATCAAGATATTTTATTTTCTTCTCCAACCTTTTAAAACCCAAACTATCAACAATACCAAAACTACCATCAAAACCAAAATATCCACAACAATATTACCTAGTGCAACAATCTTACAACACATTTAGACTTTCAGAAGAAAATCCGAGTTATAATCCATGTAATCAGTTTTCTCAAAGGGTTTCTGAAACCCAATTCCAATCTTCTTAACCCGAGAATTTCCAATTCCATGACACAACAATATTACCTAGTGACACATTTAGGCTACGGCTCCCCGCAGGCTTATTACACCCTCTCACTGACTCGTGAATGCTACGGCTCCCCGCAGGCTTATGACACTCTCTCACTGACTCGTGAATGCTACGGCTCCCCGCAGGCTTACGATACTATCTCACTCGCCATGGGCTCACCCCATGGTTTTCCCTGATACTCCTAATTGATTAGTCCCACCTGGATCCTTCCACTCTCTTACCCCACAATCTCATCATTAATCCATCACTATAATATGTTCACTAAACTCATGCTCCGCGCTCCATCATGGACAAGTACACGCACCCACACAGATTAAACATCACTACTTCTGACGACCATCGCCGCAACAAATCACTTTCCCTTGGTACGATTCACATTCTTGGACGATCCCGTCCGATGACAATTAGCTGATGGGTTCCCACTGGAACAATAGTTACTCGGTACTCCACTTGCCATCTCACAAACTCGAGTCTCAAAATAATCCAAAAATTCGTGGCATCATACTCGGATACCTTGGTACACCATCACAGAATCTCACGATGTCTTGCCTCAACTACTGATCTTCCACTCATGACATTATACTCGGATACCGCGATACACCATCTCAGAGTCTCACAATGTCTTGCCACAACCACTGGTCTTCCACTCACACATTTCGTAACCTCGAAATACTCCAACTCACAATTGGAGCACGGAGGAATCGTCAATGACTGAGAACACGTTAACGACAATCCGAAACCCCATCCTCTACTGATCAAAACTATGCGAAACTACTCATACCGACTCTGTAGTTGATTGAAAACTCCATTGCTGCCCTTCCTGTAGTACAGATAACCATCCATACGTCAAACTATCAATCTATCAACAATCGAAACTTGACCTCAGCAACCCGACTTTCTCGAAACTCCAACGTTGGCAAACCCGAAGAACACGGACCATAATTAGATTCCTTTCTAACGGACACTTGCCGTGAAGACACTCATTCTCCCCTGGGCCTATGCAACATGCATCCTCTTGCTCTGTACTTCCTTGACTATCACATGACTCCCGTTTCATATACTCGGACTGCAGATCCTCATAACCCAAACTTCCGTACCACATTTTATTGAGGATTCTCCCCGCAGAATACCCAGTTCCTCCCCACTTAGGGTTCGAACCATCATCCCTTGACATACCAAACAACCACACTACAGATTGGCTCACCGGATGTACCATTCCCGACTCACGGAACGTACCACGCAACACTCAATGATCTTCCAGATAATGACCAAATAGCTCCGAGTATCCCGTATCTCGGATGAAAACATCAAAATCCTCCCAATGTGACTGTCTCTAGTCACCCAAAATCTCATAACGACACATCACCGAACATCTCGACCGTCCCGAATTAGTTACGACCTTCAACCTGAGAGTAATGAACTATTACACACCCACCTCATCTCTGACTCCTCAGTCACCATGCCATCGTGTGAATTATCATAGAAGCAAGAGACCTCACTCTCAAAGTCGATATACAACGTAAACAACGAGGGTCGTCACCCCCGATATACTCCTCTTGATTATCTGGAATTGCTGCAAAAATGGGCCTTACTATACTCATCTAAGGCATATCCTTGTCCTCATCCATCTCAGTCCCCTCTGGTGACTCTCACACGATATATGAATACCTCGCAGCAGACATACCACACATACTCTGGTGAAAATATCTCAACTAAATGCTACCCCACCGGGTCTACTTCCAAACTCTGAAGCCAGAAGCTCGTTATCTCGTTCGCTTCACACGAGAAGCAAAAATAGTGTAATTCTCGTCACAGGATGTGACATCTCAACCATCGGTCGATCACTCAACCCATACCGCAATTCTCCTCAACGTATCATCTCCATTTTTCCTCAAGTCCTGCGACTCCAACTGGCAGCTCACCCGTCAAAATCCTTGGGATCTAAACTCAATTTTCCTCGCAAGTTACACTTTGTCGAAGCTCAACTAACATGGCCCTCAGACCCCACAGTTTACCATATCCATTCTCAGTCTGAACACCCATCGTCGGATAACTGGTAAGATGGAATCACACTCTGCTACGAGAGATCTGAGACTAATGTTTTAAAAGCTTCACTAAGTGAGTATCAGATGACTATTAGAAAGCTTGGGAGTGGTTGAAAGACCACACAAAATGGGCGTTGGTTACAAAAGTTGATGAAAGACTCCCCGCCTCATTCTTCAAAACGAACCAAAATGAAACATCCAAAAATATGGTCCCAAAAATTTCAATTTAATAATAGATAAAATAGTATTTTCCCATAACATCCAAACATTTGAACAAAACCAATGTATCAATTTTCCATAAATCAGAGTAAAACATCCTAGCAGAATCTCAATGGTGTGTGTGATGCAGTCATCCCGAGCTCTTCCCTTTGGAACCGGAAGTACCTGAAACATATACTGAAAATCGTAAGCACAAATCTTAGTGAGTTTCCCCAAAATACCACATACCATACATAACATGCATAATGAGACATGGTCCCCGCCCACACACTCAGATAATAGTGAGATACGGTCCCCGCCCACAATCGGATAATGGGCCCCGCCCAATGATGTTACACCGTAAATTTTCAAACAAAATTTTCATTTTTAAAAACATATAATTCTCAATATCATATTCCAAAAACCACAAGTGTCAAATTGTCAAAACACAAATTTGATAAATCGTTTGATAAAATCCAGGATCCACAAAACATAAACTCCATCTCAAGTGTGTGTACAATCAAGCTGGCGCCTTCCCACGATCCTGAGAAGTACCTGAAACACATATCACATAACACGATAAGCACGAAACTTAGTGAGTTCCCCAAAATACCACACATAACTCGTTAGCCTCTCATGGCTATATCTCAAATAAGACCCTCCGATCAATAGAGATGTCAAAAAGTCCTGTGGGACCCGTTCCCGTGGGGGCCCCGTCCCGTTTGTGGATATTTGTTAAAAAAAATCGGAGGCGGGGACGGGGGCGGGGGCAATGTTAACACCCGTTTTAATTTCGGGGGCTGGGGCGGGGATGAGAAATCCCGTCCTGAAACCTCAATGGGGGCCCCGTTAATAAATTATGCATATATTTACATTTATTAATTATATAAATATAATAAACAATAACATGATTTTGAGCTTCCAAAATTCAACAAAAAACATGTTTTATAAGTTGTTAGTATAATGTTTTTAAGATGCCATAACCATTTTTTTAACATGTAAATTCTGCTATAAATAATTATTCGTTACCTAAAAAATAGCTTATTTTAGCCCAAACAACAACTACTTTTAGCCCAAAAAATGTAGCCCAAAATCAATCGAGGGCAGGGGAACAGGGGCGGGGGCGGAGGTAATAAGGGGTATTCGGGGGCAGGGGTAAGAAGGCTGGACATGTTAGGGGCGGGGGCGTGGACGGGGAAACGGGGAACATGGAAATTTCGGGGGAGGGGGCGGGAGATGCACTCCCCGTCCCATTTTCCCCCGTTGACATCCCTACCGGTCAATGTGTCTCAGTGGGACCCTCCAGTCCCACAACTCGGGTGGACCCTCCGGTCCTAACTCAGTAAGCTCAGAATAATACACAACATCAATCACAAAGAAATAATGCAGGATATCACAATACTCAATATAAGCACATAGGACCCTCCGGTCACACAAAGGTTACCACTCTAAGTAAGTATAGTGAGAAGACTCACCTCGTAAGCAAGCAAATGAATCTCGTACACGAATCACCGATCTAGCCTCCGCCTAACACATGTGATAATTATCTCTAATTAACACTCAAATCATAACTATAATTAAACCAAAGGCTATTCTCTCTCTCTCTCTCTCTCTAACTCTTGGAATGGGTAAAATACCATTCTACCCCTCCATGGTCTCAAGAATCCCTGTCTTGACCAAACCCTAAAGTCAACTGAAGTCAACAGTCCATG